AAACGCTGCAGGATCTCTTTGTAGACGTGCTGGTTGATCGTCTGAAGGGGAAAACTTGTAGTTTGTAGTTTGGGTTTGACATCTTTCTTTTGTGGCAGCGGTTCTGGAACCTTTCTGACACACCTCGTAGTTCTTTGACTGTAGATCTTTCCTATGTACAATGGCATCATTGAGGGCTGAAGCTCATCATGATGTTTAGTCATGCATTGTGTTCCCGAGGAGAGCAGAATCCTTCAGCATTTGAGCCTTTCTTCATTTGGTCATCCCTATTTTCCAGTTGGTGTAATGGCTTGTTCATGCCCCAGTGTTTTTTAAGTCAAATAAAAAGCCATCTGAAACAGCAGAGTAAGTGCCCAGCCATGTGTATTATCCCTGTGTGATCCAGCGAGCCCCAGCACCCATTTCCCTGCTGGCAGCAACGGTTTACCTTCAGCACACACAGGTGCACCACTCTGTAGCATCTCCCCTTAACCCAGCTCCCACTTTCTGTCCAGCCCTGTGGACACAAACCTTCAAACAGTCTTGTGGTTATGTGCCTGGTATTAGTTGTATGCATCTATCCATTAGAGTCAGCAAAAGAAGGAAAACAACCAGATCATTCCTATTTGTTCTTTTTATATCTTTGGACTTCATTCTGGGTGCCTGCGCTTACAGGTTTCAGCACAGTTTAATGGAGATTGCAGCATCCATGATGAACATGCTGCAGGTATTGTTTGTTTGAGGCAAATAAATAGTTTTGGTTTTCTAAAATAAAACACTTTTCACTGTGTCTGACAGAGTTGACATAAATGCAGTTATGAAGTGCATAAATGTCGGATTTAAAAATAATAATAATAATAATCTTCCTCCAAAAACTTGTTCATTCACAGGATCTGAACCTGGTTTGTCAATACATATGTCATCGTAAACCAAAACCGAATCTGCATAACTGAAATGTTCTTATCATTAATACTCATTGCCAATGATGTCAGCAGATATACCAGAAGACTGACAACATGAAACATTTGTTCTTATCTGATTTACATCAACAGTCCAACCAGTGGTTTGTTGTTTGGGCACTGAGCTGGAAACCATTTAATGTTTGGAGGTAAAAGGGTTTATTTAACTGCTGTTGTGTGCATACAGTTACAGACTGACAGCTCAAGTGAGCTGCAGGAGGCTAATGCATTAAAGGCCACAGGGGCCCCTGTGGTGGCGACCATCATCCCTCTGATACGGCGATGGTTAGGTGCCCCTGTGAACATTAGTGTGGACACAGCTCAGCCTGAACCACTCAGGAGACCATCAGGCCCAGTTCGGACCACTCGGACCTGTGGCTTTTGTGTATTACCACAAGCGCAGTATTTTTTACCATATTTAGTATGACTGCTGATTCAACATTTTTTCTTTATTATGTTTGTTGGTGTGACTGACTATTGCTCTGTGTATTTCCTAATATTTGTTCATTAAGTCTTCATGTTTCCTATTTATATTTTCTTTATGCATTCGGTTGGTGATGTGAAGAAAATGACAGTCTCACGCATTTTCATCATAAAAAACATCCCAGAATTCTTCTGACTGATCATACCATATGTGGAGGACCCAAGCATTGCCTGTATATTTGATTTTACATATCATGTGTCATTGTTCCATGGTTTGGTAACAAAAATCGTGGGCATGGTTCAAATTTGAGGCGACAGTTGATATGATTTGCCCAAGTTTTGTCTTTTGGAAAAGTGACAGTCATCACTGGCTAAAAATGAGACGCTTAGTGTCACTATAACATCTCGTATATATTTCCTGCTAATAAAGAAGATCCTGGAGAGACTTTAAAAAAAAAAAAAAAAAAAGCTGTGGAGCTTAAACTAGTCTGGGTTTTTTGTAACTAGGCACCAGATCTAAAATGGAACCAGTTTTAAACAATGTTATCTGACTATTCAAGTGCAAGCAGGCTCTGGCAGGTTTTTTGTTTTGTTTTGTTTTGTTTGCATGGTAATTTCTTATATGTTGAATGAATACATGTGAATATATATGACTTGTTATTGTTGTAATGTAACAGTAACAAGGTCGTAGTAATCCAATAATAGCAGCAGTATTTTTGATGACACTTACATGATGAGGAAATCTGGTTTTAAGAGAGCCTGTATAACTTTTTCTGAACAGCACAGAACACGACTTTTGAATCTTGAGTTTATAAAAAGAGAACCAAACATAGAAATCCTGTATCAACAGAGAACATTTTATTTTTTTGCTACATCTTCCAGTAATAATCAGAATATTTAAACTTTAATTATTGTGTGAATCCACACGTTGTTCTCACAGCCGTACTATAAATACCAAGAAGGTAGGGACATTTACTGTTCATTTCACTCAGCTCAGACAAATAAACTCAGACCATGACGTCAGTCAGTTGTAGTTCAATAATTGCAGGTCTGAAATCAATGGCATGATGACAAATACCAGTAAAAACCCCACTGAGCTGAATTAGAACAAAAGTAGAACAGCTAGAAATCAAAGAGTTTAGTCTTCTCACAGAGAGCCTGTGTGATATTATTCAGGTAGAGTAAATGCAGTTAGTACAGTATGTAATTATTTATTAATGTCACGTGTGTTTTTAGTATTAAGCCTTTTAAGGTTTAACCCTTTGGAGTGGTTGGAGTAAGGTCAGGCTAAGGTTTGGGTTTAGAGTAGGTGCACAGGACACTGATGACCTCCTGTGGTGAAAATCATGTTTGTTTGTTTGTTTGTTTACCTTGTTTACATGTCCATGTGGTGCTTTATATGCTAGATGACATCATGAAGGAAGTCAGCAGTCAACACCATGGCTGAGTATGTTCACCTTGAAACTGCAGAGTACCGATGACAATTTCAAAAACACAAATGTACACGTCTGGGGTTTCACATGGAACCAACCTAAGGAACCAGACCTATCAGTTTGTGAGGCAGGCGTCCTGTGTCAGTGATCCAGCTTCCAGTTTGAACATGCATTGTTCAATTACTCTAGTTTTAAAACTTGCCATAGCTTAAAGTAGTTTTACAGTGTTGTGTGTGCTAGAGGAACAGCGGGGGCAGGGAATTTAGCCTGAGACGAGAACTTCATAAGTCTTCACGTTCTAAAGGAAGCATCATGTGTTTTTACCTGCGTGTGCATTCGGGATCGACCGTTGTGGCTTTTGAGGTCCAGTGTTGATATCGATGTAAGTGACTGAGAAAGGCAGATAACCAATATTTGGAAGCGTTATACCTTAAAAGTTTTTTATTAACAGCATGTGATCGCAGGAAACCTGTCATTCAAAACTAGGTTTGTTCATAATACCCATTGCGACTACTGAATTTGTACATCCATCCATTTTCTATACACCGCTTAATCCTCACTAGGGTCATGGGGGTCTGGAGTCTATCCCAGCCGACTTAGGGCGAAGGCAGGGGACACCCTGGACAGGTCGCCAGTCCATCTCAGGGCTACACTTAGAGACAGACAACCAAGCACACTCACATTCACACCTACGGACAATTTACAATCACCAATTAACCTCAACATGTTTTTGGACTGTGTGGGAGGAAGCCGGAGAACCCGGAGAGAACCCACGCTGCACGGGGAGAACATGGACTCCACACAGAAAGATTCCAGTGCCCCCACCGGGACGCGAACCGGCAACCTTCTTGCTGCGAGGCAACAGTGCTACCAACTGCGCCACCTTGCAGCCCTGAATTTGTACATGTTTACAATAAATGTTACCTGGTATCTACAAGTATTGATAGTGCCATCTGTCCAGTATCATTTCCAAGCACCCTCTGAACTCATGCAGCACTGTCACACTCCCAACTGCATCACTGTAGGAACTATAACATCACTGTGGTAATGCTGGCCAGGTTTGTGCCATCTTTCATATTGTTTAGCAGAGAAAAGCAAGGGTGTTTTTGTGACACTGTCCATCTCAGTCGGCATTATGCAATGTCCTTAATGCTGACCAAGCCGTCATCCAACCTCTGATTTCCATTATTAACCCCTATGCAATGTTTGAAGCAGTTGACAGTCTGTTTCTTAGAGCTAGATTGCACAAGTAGAATCCCGTCTGTGGCATTTTAGGAAGATCGCCACTACAACTTTGATGAGTGTTGCTATGGCTCACACTGAGCCTCTTGAACATTGCTGTAGCTGTGTTTCCACTGGTTTTAGTTGGTGCTCTTTTTGTAGCTTTCTACATATCTGTGAGATTGTTTTAGTTCCTCTGGCATTTCTTTTTCATGTGGAGCAATGATGCAGAAATGCAGATAGACACAGCATATAGCTCCGAAACAGAGGAAGTTCTGGTGCTGACAGCTCATTTTATAACCACGTCTAACTAGAAATCACTGAAACTGTTTTATTTCAGTGATCACAGATTTTCAGTAACTTGTGTGCCAGTGATCACAGGTGTATTCACTTTTGTTGCATTGATTCTCTACTTTGGGGCCTGTATTTTCAATATGGTCTTTCTAAAGTGTGTGTTTTCAATCATTCATGAGAGAAAATACTCTACTTATCAGAGATAAGATGAGATTTTTGAAAAACAGAAAAGGGTAAAACCTACAAAGTGACCAAGTATGGCACCTGATTTGAGTCCAAAAGTGAAAAATAATGCAAAACACCCCTCAGCAAAGGTACTACCATTGGTATCTCCATGCAGTATATATTCTATTTCTCTTGATTGGCATCATTGTAAAGTTTCTGCATCACAATTCAATCAAATGTAAATGTCATGCACGTGAAGAGGTGGAGATACGTACAAACATTTCCCACTGCCTGAAACTTGAAAGACATATTGTGGGGACATGTGAGACTTACATGTGCTTGTTAAAAATGGGTGTAATATGGGACCTTTGAGGTTTGAATTTTAATTGTTTGTACAATTTGGTTAATAATTGTACAATCATTGTATTCATATAAAAAAGTATATACACATGTGTAATTACTCAGAAAGAATTGAATCAATCAGTGTCCAAACAAAAGATGTTGTTTGTGTGTGTGATTGCTGTAGGAGCCGTGACTGCAGTGAGCAAGGTGTCCTGTCGGATCCAGGACAATGCCCGGCGCCATGAGAACCACCTGCAGCTTTGCCGGGTGCAGAAACTGCTGAAAGGGCGAAAGACGAAGGTGTTGGCCGCAGGTTAGAACCTCTGATCACACATTCCTTTCATCTCCTTTGAAAACTACCTCAATCTCCTCTCTACCTCTCTCTGCATCCATTGTTCGACGTCCTCTGGGACACGCTGATGGGGGGGGAGGGGGAAGCAAGACGAGCACACGTTAACCAAAGGGAAATTAGCCAAAGTATGGAAACATCCTTACAGCACTTGCCTGCGTTTCTTTAAACCGATGAAATTTATTGGAATGTATTATTAATAATCTGCATATCACACTGAACCAACTGCATTAACAACAGTTTGTGAGAGAATGTGCTTTTCTACTTTAGCTGCCCTCTTTCTTGTTCATTTATTTCCTCTCTTCCGTTGCGGTTCTCTCTCTACTTGTGGAGCGGTGGCCCTTTCCTACCTGCCACTCCCCCTCCCGTTGTTTGTCTCCAGAGTATCAGGCCTCGTCGTTGCTCTTCTCGCCCTGCCAATCTCCCCCAGGACCAATTAGAGCCCAGTCTCATCTCGCAGGCCAGTAGATAAAAAGGGAAGCCGAAGTGTGTGTGTGTGTGTGTGTGTGTGTGTGTGTGTGTGTGTGTGTGTGTGTGTGTGTGCTCGCATCTCTCTCTCTGCTGGATGTGAGTAAATGCGTGTGTGCATGATGCCGCGTTTGTGTTTCTTTGCTTAGACATGCAGGGTTAACGTATGCGTGCAATCATGTGGACGTGTTAGTTTAGCCCAGCATCGAGCGCTGAATGGTAGCTCATCTCTGTAATGCCGATGTGGAACTTTCAAACGCTTCCTCCAAGTTCTCAGGCCCTTGCAACTCCATCAACTTCTTTTCCAGCCAATAAAGCTCCAGTCCCACCAGGCAGACTTCAGAGCTGCAGCAGCACCACCCCACCACACAACCCCACGCCAACCTATTCTCCTTCCTCCCCACCAACACCGCCTCTAATGTAGTAAAAGAAAAGCTCTGCCTTTTTACAGATGAGAAGCACCGGAGCCCCTCGAACATATTAAGTAGCTCGGTAGGAGATGAAGGGGGGCGATTGTGAGACACAAAGCCTGAATCAGTGGGATGTCGATATAGCAGAAAGTCAGCCTGTTTCCCCGGGAGTCTGCAGATTTGTGCCTACCTGCCTATTCATTCAATTTAAAACAAAGATGTCGCCCATTTCCTATCATGGTTCACATTGATTTTTTTTT